TATATGGCTTAATAATTTCAACACAAACAGCTTCCAGTTCAGAAGGAACTAGATCATGTCTTATTTTGTAATTGATGGAGCTACGCCAGTAAATTCAAACTCCACAACCATTCCTTGATCTATCTTTTCTGACAATATCATAACCATCAAGGTTAATCATATTATCTGTTATATTCGCATCAAGTCGTATCTCATTAAATGCAATCACATCAATGAACTTTTTTGACATTGAAAAATTAGTTTCATCTATTTTTTTAGGTAAACTAACAATATTCAGAAAAGCCATTTTAAAACCTCTTTCATTCGGGATTTAGCTAAGGGTTCTCATAAAATCGCTGCTCACATTGCCACTTGTTATATCTAATCTGCTTTCTGTTTCATCACTTGCTTTACATGGGCCAGATACATTGTCCAGTCTTTCTGGTGCCCATGACTTTGTCGAAAAAAATGGCTGTCATTACAACTTGAAGCCATGTTGGTGTTTCCAATTCTATCAGACTTCAAGTAGGTGCAGAAAGTGTTGGATGTGATCTCATTTACATTTAGTTTATATATATATATATATATATATATATATATATATATATATATATATATATATATATATATATATATATATATATATATATACATATAGGGTTATCGTTGTAGACCGATGTACAATTAGGGATAATTAATGTAATTGTTTTAGTTTACTGATCTGCACACATGTCATGGCGAATGTAGTTTGAACGTTTTGTGCCGTCAATAAAATACTTATTTAATCCTTAATATATTGCCTCCATCATGAGTCAAGCGCAAAATGCAACAGGTTATGGGCCCAGAAGAGATATTCCTGGGAGATATGGGAGACTTTTGTTCGATGGAGATGAGAGAAAGTACGAGCAATGGGAAATTAAATTCCTTGGCTACATGCGATTGCAAAAGTTGAGAGATACAATTGTGGCATCCGACGAAGATGAGGTTAGTGACGATAAGAACGCAGAAGCTTTCGCGGAACTTATCCAGTTTCTTGATGATAAAAGCCTCTCACTGATTATGAGAGATGCTGTTGACGATGGGCGAAAAGCATTGAAAATCCTAAGAGGACATTATGCTGGAACTGGTAAGCCAAGAATCATTTCGTTGTATACTGAACTTACATCCTTGGTAAAATCACCGCATGAAACGGTTACTGACTATGTTATAAGGGCAGAAACTGCAGCGGCAGCCCTCAAAAATGCTGGTGAGAATGTAACTGATAGTCTTTTGATTGCTATGGTTTTGAAAGGTCTACCAGAAACTTTCAAGCCCTTCACTGTAGTAATAACGCAAAATGAAAAGAAACAAACATTTAGTGACTTCAAAGCAGCATTACGAAGTTTTGAGGAGACCGAACAAGCTAGAGCAAGCAATTCTACTGAGGGAGACTCGATTTTGCAGACAATTAATAGACATAAACAAGATTCATTCGGTATAAAGGGCAAGAAACTTTGCTATTCTTGTGGCCAACCAGGTCATTTTGCTCGTCAGTGTCCAAATAAAGAGAAACCCAAGAACAAATTGTGGTGTAAAACTTGCCACAGTTCCACACACAATGATAACACTTGTCGTAAAAATAAAAATAAAGGCAAAAGCGAGAACAATAAAGCTAACAAAGCTTTGAATGTTGAGCAGGGAGAACATTCATTTGCCTTCCAGATTAAAGCACAGCAGGGTGTTAGCAAGATAAATGTAGAACTCCCGAGCAAACTTCTGGTGGCTTGTGGTGCAACTACCCATATTATTACTGATCAATCCAAGTTTCCAGCTTTGACCAAACATTCAGACCAGAATCACATTACATTGAACTAGCTGATGGGACTCGATCAAATAATGTTGCACTCAAGAGAGGAAATGTGAACTTGCCTATCACGGATTCTAGAGGAAGATGTGTCAATGCCTCATTAAAGAATGCTCTGTACATACCATCATATCCTCAGGACATATTTTCAGTACAAGCTGCCACTGAGAAAGGTGCTAGTGTTATTTTCCATCCGCAGTCGGCAGAGCTAATCAGCAAAGATGGTACAAAGTTTAATATTGAGAAGCATGGTAAACTATACTATTTACATGTAGGACCACATAGTGATATAGAAAACTCTGACTCAGTAAATTATACTAGTGATTTAAAGGGCTGGCATGAAATACTTGGTCATTGCAACTATGAAAATGTAGTGAAGATCCAAGATGTAGTTGATGGCATGAAGGTAAGTGATAGTAGTAGTAAACCAGATTGTGATACTTGTGTTTTAGGGAAAATGACTCAAAGTAGGAATAGAAATCCCGATGTTCGATCTAAAGCCCCTTTAGAGCTTGTGCACACTGATCTTGCTGGTCCAGTTGACCCTATGTTAAAGGAAGGATTTAGATATACTATAGCTTTCACTGATGAATATTCAGGTGCTGTGTTTGTGTATTTTCTTAAAAATAAGAGTGATACTGTCGAGGCCACAAAGAAATTCCTAGCTGATTCTGCCCCATATGGAAATGTTAAACGATTAAGGTCAGATAATGGTGGTGAATTTATTTCCAATAAATTTAAATCTCTTCTAAGTGAAAACAAAATAAAACACGAGACCTCAGCACCTTACTCGCCTCACCAGAATGGGACAGCTGAGCGTCATTGGAGGACCCTATTTGAGATGGGTAGATGTATGCTTATTCAGGCAAATCTAGGTAAAGTGCTATGGCCATATTCAATTATGGCAGCCGCATACATCAGGAATAGGTGCTACAATAATCGCCTAAAGCAAACACCCTATTTTGCTCTTACTGGTCGAAAGCCAAACTTAGCAAATATGAGAGTGTTTGGCAGTGTATGTTATGCTTATGAGCAGGATAAGCAAAAACTAGATTCCCGGTGCAAAAAGGGTATTTTCGTGGGTTTTGATAAGGATAGCCCTGCTTACTTAGTGTACTTTTCAGAAACTGGAAAAGTACTCAAGTACAGGGTAGTGAAATTCACTACAAAGAATGTTAGTGAACAGGAAACCCAAACCGAGGACACATCAAGTGTTGATTTTAGGATGTCCCAGGACAATAATGGTCCATGTAATTCCTCGGATGTTCAGAACCCAGGGCCCACCCATGAAGGCCCTTGCCAACAGACCGAGGAGTCTGATGAACCTGATCAACAGACTGAAGAGTCTGATGAGAGTAAGGCAGATATGAATTTACAATCTGATGATGGTATAGGTCACTCACGACGTGAAAGAAAACCCCCATCATATCTTAGTGATTATATTACAAATGTCCAAATTGGGACAGATCAGGTATCGGGCGATGTTGATTACTGTTATAAGGTATCAGGTTTTCCAGAAACATATCAGGAAGCTATAGAATCTCCTGATGCAGAGCTTTGGAAAGCTGCAATGAGGGAGGAAATGAATTCTCTAAATGAGAATAACACATTTACTTTAACAGCATTGCCAGAGGGTCGGCAAACAGTGGGCGGTAGATGGGTGTACACCATCAAGGAAAGCCCAAGCATGGCTAAAAGATATAAAGCCAGATATGTGGCAAAAGGTTATAGTCAAATAAAAGATATTGACTATCACGAAACTTTTGCTCCAACTGCAAATCTAACAACAATCCGAGCTTTAATGCAAATTGCTGCAAAGCAGGATTTAATTTTACATCAAATGGATGTAAAAACTGCGTATCTCAATGCTCCCATTGATTGCGAGATATACATTGAGCAGGCTGAAGGTTTTGAAACCCCTTCCAATTCTGGAGAGAAATTGGTATATAAGTTGAACAAATCTTTGTATGGTTTGAAGCAATCCGGACGGAATTGGAATAGCATGTTGCATAAGTATTTAATCGAAAACAATTTTGTGCAAAGTAATGTTGATCACTGTTTGTATATCAAACACGTTGAAGGCAAACTCGTGATCATACTCGTGTGGGTTGATGATTTGATCATTGCTGCGAGAAATGATATCTTAATGTCTGACACAAAGCAAATGTTGAAAGATAAATTCCACATGAAAGACCTAGGGAGGCTTTCATATTTCTTAGGTATTGATTTTAAGCAAGGGGTAGATTATGTTAGAATGAACCAAAGAAAGTATTTGGTAAAGCTGCTGGAGAAATTTGAAATGTCTAATTGCAAACCTCGTACTACCCCTTCAGAGCAAAAATTAGAATGTGACGGTGAAAATCTTACTGACCCTAGGAGGTATCGTGAGCTTATTGGTAGTTTGATTTATGCAATGACATGCACTCGACCTGATATATGTTGGATAATAACGACATTATCACAGTATTTGTCGAGACCTCTTAAAGAACATTGGATTGCTGCTAAGCATGTATTGCGATATTTGAAGGGTACTCTTGATTATGAGTTGTCTTACAGGAAGTGTGATGACGATCTTAGGTTGATTGGTTATAGCGATGCTGATTGGGCTTCTTCCACCCACGACAGACGAAGTATTAGTGGGTACTGTTCTAGTTTAACTAAGACTGGGCCTTTGATTTCTTGGAAATCAAATAAGCAACGTACCGTTGCCCTTTCATCCTGTGAGGCAGAATATATGGCTTTAGCTGCAACAGTACAGGAAGCCTTATACCTAGCGCAGTTATTAGATGAGATTATTGAAATTTGTAGTCCAGTTCAGATTTATGAGGACAATCAGGGTACGATTGCTTTATCTAAAGATCCTGTCAATCGTCAGAGATCTAAACATATTGATATCCGATATCATTTTATTCGTTCCACCATAAACGCAGGTAAGGTAATTGTAAATTATTGTTCTACTACTGATATGATAGCAGATATAATGACAAAAGCAGCTCCACGTTGCAAATTACAAAAATTTAAAAACTTTATATTTGGCGTTTAAAGCTTGTAAACTCTTAATGAGACCAACGTTTAAATTTGTAAAAGGTTGATTATTATAACAATATACCATTGTTGTATTTAGAGTAAAGTAACTTGAGATCAAGTGGGGGTGTTGGATGTGATCTCATTTACATTTAGTTTATATATATATATATATATATATATATATATATATATATATATATATATATATATATATATATATATACAGGGTTATCGTTGTAGGCCGATGTACAATTAGGGATAATTAATGTAATTGTTTTAGTTTACTGATCTGCACACATGTCATGGTGAATGTAGTTTGAACGTTTTGTGCCGTCAATAAAATACTTATTTAATCCTTAATATATTGCCTCCATCATGAGTCAAGAGCAAGATGCAACAAAATATCCCATCATGTGAACAGGAAAACTTGAAAGGCCTATAGCTAAGTGACAACACAGTTATAAGTAAGCTAAACAAGGATCTTTCATCATGAATCCTGGTGTTTCTGTGCAGAACACAGCTCACACATGACATACAGTATCGTTTTTGGATTACGGTACTAAATTTTAAAGCTGTCATGTTAATATAAAAATTTTATTTTCGAATGGTTTCTTAGGGCAGTTTCATATCAGCAAGTAGAGAAGCTTGTCTGGGGCTATACGGTACCACTACCAGCAGTTGAACAAGGTATCCCCTTCCTTGCTGTGCATACGCCAAAATACGGTTTCTGTCTAGCTTATGTGAACAATGTTGTATCTTGCCGAGTTATTTTTTTAAAACACTGACATCATGCTTGAAAGTATTGTAGTAGTAAAAAACCGTCCAGAATTTCCATAGGGATGGGGGAAACAAGTTGTCAGTGACAGTTAGAAAAATCCAGAGGGATGGGGGTTCATAAAGTAAATCTCTTCCATTAGGGGGGGGGGGTATTGCCTAGAAATACACATTGAAATACTTACTCTGGTTCACTCTTTCCCTTTGGTATACAGAGTGGTATAATTTTGGCAGCCTTTTATTTGGGTTTTGTAAAACACCCAATATCAAATGCTGGATGCTCAGTTAAGCAGCGGTCATGCATGTTTTCTTCCAGCAATTTTTTCCTTACAAGGTTCACATAAACAAAGACATTCATTGGGTTTTCCCACCAAGGCCAGGACACAGTTGCCACATTTACACCTATGGACCATTAATATATATTGAAGTATACAATTGAAGTATATTTCCCACAACTTTGAGTAAATTAATGTTTTCTTACGTGGGTAGGATTTCCAATTTGGCAACACAGTCATCTTTAAGCCATCTCTCATTGAAGACGTTTCGTGCAATAACGGAAGTGACAGTAACATTTTATAAGGATATCAGTAACCATTTGTTTTGTTTTACATGGCCATCACATGTTTGTTTTATGTCACAAATATAACCAAAACGTAAATAAATACAATACAAAACGTACCAGGTGTCAGTTGAGGTTTCACCAGACAATCTAGCAGACAGTGTTTGCTGCTTTTGCTCTTTCTCAGTTATAGTACTCTTCATGTATAATGTTTCTCCAGTGACAAGTGGTTCGACTGAAATATCATAGGCCTCGCACAAATTCACAATCTTCTCCATATTTATATCACCCCCGCTATCATAAAAAACGTCTTCGGCAAAAGAGAGTTCGCAAGATGATTGTGTTGCAAAATTGAAGCTGTAGCTTTCATCAGAAGACATAATTTTGAACAAAAGCAGCCTAGTATAAGCCTTTGATAATATTAATTTCTCCTTCGGGAAAGAAGCGTGTTGAGTAAATGACGTCACATCCCACTAAGAAATCGACATCTAACTCCGTAATGGCGGCCGAAAAATTTGCATGTTTGCGTTGAAAAAAAAAGGTAGAAAGAAATGGAATTGGACGCTGATATTTGGTAACTTTGTTTATCTACTGATATACTTTCTGAATATACAATAAGAAAGACAGCACAATTTTCCATTTTTACTGCCCCTTTAAGTTCGTCTAAGAAATATTTTTGGCAAAATCTGTGGCAAAATGGTTAAATTCGATAAGATTTATACACAATTTGTCGAAGGTTAGTATTATTGTTTGTTTTAAACTCTGAGAGAGGATTAATTGTGTACTAGAACACACCTCTGAGGCTCTGACCGAGTATTTAGGGCAAAATGTGCCTTCATATTTTGCTTCGTATTGCGTTTATAATGTTTATATTTATAAAACTAAAGTCTGGGTTTAGGCTATAAACTGAAACATGACTTTTAGTTTTTGATATTCTTCATAGTCGAGTTTAAATTGGCCTAATTTATAGTTAGTTACCACTTGGAATGCGACGATATTTTGTTATATCATATATGCAATATCAACATTGAATAATATGTGATTTGGTTTTGTTTCAGCTACTATTACATGTTGCTTCATTTTACCATAAATTGCGTTAAAAAAGTGATTTGCTCATTTGGCTGATGTTACAGTTTTCTGATGTGTTTTGTTTGGATGATATTAGAACAATTACAATATGAAAGTGCAGGTGTCTTCAGACATGAGCCATAATGTATATATCAAAATACTGATAAAATCCGTTTCCAGCTTGATTGTATTTGCATTTGTTGTACTTGCATTGTTGCAGACAAAGTTGTACAATGGTGGGCTTATGTCACATACTCGTATGTAATTCCATGTGCCTGCATGTACAGTACTTTGATGCCTCAAGAGATGCTTCGAATTTGCAATAAAGGGCTGTTCGCAGGAGTTGGGCTGTCTGGCCTTAAATTGTATTGTTTTTATGATATTTTATGATTGTATTCATATGGCTGGACCATCTTGCCATTGCCACAATGGCTGATGTTCAAACAGGCTTTAAAATCAGGTTACAATGCATGCTTGAAAATATGCAACAATTTCACTGCTAATAATATTCCAGAAAATCCTGCCTCTTGGGCAGATCTGGACTGATTTGTTAGAGAGGGTTGGAGGTTTTCTACTTGTGATCGGGCAAGGGGAGCTAGTCAAGGGTGCTGAGTCAAACTCATGTGAACAGCTTCTAAGTTCTAATTATATTGATAAATTATGTAAACTTTGGGATGGTAATGCAATTTGTAAAATTTTCCACAATTTATGTAATAAAATTTAATTATATACATTGTTTTTGTTGTTTATATTAACATCTTGGACAGTGTATATTTTCACCTTTGGACCCTGTAAATAAACACCTTTGGAGGGTGTACCCATTCTAAGCCAAAGACGTTTAAGAACAATTATCAAGGTATTTGCATGATAAAATATATTTAAAACAGCTCTCCATATACATCTAATGCATGGTTCAATTCTTGCTTCTACTAAGTAAACGCAGGGATTTTCAATGTCCCCCTCCTCCCATAGAATTCACTTGAAGTGACTGGGGCAAGGTAGCTATAAGTATAAGTAGTTATATTAATTTAATTAAAGTCAATTAAAATTTACAAATTGAGCTTTTTGAATATAGACCATTGCAAATTTTTTTAAAATTTGTTTAACCCTTTATAGTGGCAATGTCCCTACTTTAGTATATTACTCCGTCTGGTGCCAGATAATTTTACTCAAGGGCAGAATGTAGACTTGCCACAAGTCGACCTCGAACGAAACGTTGGCTCACACTCGCTGCTTGCGTTTCGTTTGAGGTCGACTTGTGGCAAGTCTAGGCAGAATGCTGCCACTCAATGAGTTAATATATTCTCAGAACAATTACAATCAAATTTAATCTATTTTGCTGGCAAAATTGCCTTGGAGGGGGTCCTTGATTTGTTGAGTCTTTTTTTTGGGGGGGGGAGGGGTGAGTGTTGTAAAAAACAGAATAGCAACTGGTTTCAGAATAGGAAGAATTGTTGTAATATAGGTAATATAATTCTAAGACAAATCATCCAAAGGAAGCAATCATTCTAGCTCTTATAGTGTATGTTGCAACAGGGATGGATTTAATGGTGGGGGGGGGGGTGCACCCCCTAGCCCTGGCCAGAGCGGGTGCTATATATTTTTCATGATAAAACAAAAAATTATTACAGGCAAAATGAGATACAGTAATTTGAGTAATAACATGATAAGCAAGCTGTGAACAACAATTAGAATTCAAATACAGTAGTAAAGCAAGACTTTGCAGTAGTGAAGCAAGTTGATTGGCGGGCGGCACACATGACCAACACAACTCGGCACCAGAGCTGGCAGAGCACCCCCCCCCCGCCTACCAGATCATGCTGGATCCATCCCTGTGTTGCAAAATGTATTTTCTTCATATTCTGGCATTCACATGAATGAAGATTAGAATTGCATCATGTTATATAGTCTTAAATATTTAGGAGGGGTCTCCATTATTAAATTAAGAGATTAAAAAGGGGTCCCATGACATTTTGACATAAGAATCTCCCACTCCACCCTAGGGTATAATGAATGGTCACTTAAAGTACATGCCATCTTCTAACTGGTTGGGCACTTTGCCCCTTTTGTTATGGAAAATCTATTCCCTACCTTTATCCCCTGGGACAAAAAATTCAAATCAACTCTCCACCCTGATAATGTGCAGATGGTAACAGCAAGAATTGAAACAAGCAAGCTTTACTGGAGTACATACTATTATTAGGAAGCATCAATTTGCACATGCTAATTTGCCAGTCATGATTTAAATGTAATATTTCTTATCTCATATAGAATTCTTAAGGTCTTGTTTACATTTTACTGTAAGCAAACTAAGATGCATATCCAATATTTGGGTCATATCACTCATATGTCAGTTCTGCAGCTTGCCAGCTTCAACAGCATTTGGCTGCAAGGAAATCGTAAACAAAGAAAGAGCATATAACACTTCATCTGTGTTTAAAATATCAATGAATAAATATTCCAACCATTGGCACTTTATAATATCAGTGACATTCAACAATAGATCAATAACATATACAGTATATGCAAAAACATTTCTTTGAATCACTGTACAAAATATTCCTCATAAACTCGCTCCAATCGTCGCACAGCAGAGTCTTTGAAAGGGTAAAACC